GTACTTACGTGTGGTAATATGTGCTATTTGTGATTCCAGGCAAGTGATATCTTGAGTCACCTTGCGTTATGCGCCTAAAATAATGGATAAGCAGTGAAGAAGAGATGAGCATAAAACTTGTTATTAGAAAGAGAGCTCTGGTAAAATATTTTATTTATCACATGATGTAAAAGCTGGATAGAAATGGTAATTTGCACTAGCACTGCAAGAGCAACTGTTGAGGGCAAGTCTTTATTATTGTTGTTGTTTGTTTACACGTATATGTTAAACCAGACACTGAGTCGTTTAGGGCCCAAACTGTTTATCATCTTCATCACGTTTTGCACATTCGTCGTGGCAACTTCAGCAGCGTGCGGCATTTCTAACGCAGACGTGCGGGTTAAACCGCGGGCAGCGCCGCTAAGTGTGCAGATCCAATTCTAGATGTCGGACCTGGTCTTGACCTAATGCAAATTTGTCACCGCCTGGCGTTCCTGATATTCTGTTTTAACAACTTCCACTGCGCGTTTTTAAATCTGAGGCTTTGCCCGAGTGGCTTGAAGGCATAGACAGTCGCCAGACGAAACTGGTATCAGATTGCCTAAATGAGAATAACATTGTAACTATCACTGGGTAGCTGATCTCACAGCCTTAGAGTGGGAACAGAAAGTACAGCTGTCTTGCATTCGGATTACGACGCATGCATACTTTTACAGTCTAAGGTAATCCATGTGTAAGAAAACTTATATCCTAGCCTGCTACATGTGATGTAGAGACTTGCGTAAACCCTTGCATTCACCAACATTGAGCTCAAACGTTGTGCTCTAGCACTTAACACGATTCTGAAGTTTTGCAAGCTACTGCTACAGAAGTTTACAAAAATGCATTTCAGAAATTATCGTTCCGTCGCTATTTAATTGAGGGAATATTTTTTGTCCTGAGACGTTTTCAGAACTTTTGAATCTACCCCAAAGTGCTTCGGGTTTTGTGCGATGGGATTACGACTGGCAGAACGTGCTTCGACTGTAACCTTGGCCTTTTCTGAAGCTGCCAGAAAACCACGCTGTAGCTTTTGGAGAACGGCTGAAATTGGCTCGGAAAACAGAATCGTTTTTGACGCAAATCATTGATGTAGTAACAACTGTATTCTTTGGAAGATGCAAGGTAAAATCTGGAATATCTATGCGGAGGGCAAGGTCCAACACTCTCTCTGAGACTAACTTAAAGACCGGCATGGTTGACGATTCATCCTACCAGCCTCCATCGTTCGCCATCGTTCTCCAACAGTTAGAATAATTCTAAACAGGGTTTCGAGATAATGAATTTAAATGCACAAGTTTGCCTCCCTCGTTGTTTAAGTACTAAAAAAACTCTGTATGTCTGATTTCTGTTTTTATTGAAAGGATTACGCAGCACATATGGCTTTATAGACACGTGACGCATGCAATAAATATAAATTGGCAGAATTGTTTATGACGTCCTCTGTGTCTGTGCAAGGGTCGTTAGTGGTCCTTTATTCCTATTATTAGACTTCAGAACCAATGACGTCTCTCAAATCTGTTATCACAGTAAAATTGTGCGTTGTGATATTATACATGTAATCATAGCTAAAGCATGTATAGTTTAGATTTTTCACCCGAAGATATATCTGCAAATATGGTTTAAACGCTGCCCTGATAACGTTATGAGGGGATTACGGGCCATACCTGCTGTAACGGCCTTCCTTTTGAAATCGCATCAACGGGTAATGTGAAGATTTTATCGTCTCGTGAAGCGAAGCGGCATCCATAAACCGTGCTAGATGGTTTCCGGTGCTTATTCCAGTCACGACAAAGGTATGTCTACAGTTATGATACAGATTAGTAGGAAGCCAGTCTGTCAAAGAGGTCTGAGGTCTCTTGTAGATAACTTAAAGGCAAACTTTTGGATCTTGACGGGTAAAATTTCTATATTCCTACATTCTATAGGCGTCTACAGCCGTACATAGAGGGGGTGTTGCACACAGCCGCCAAGGTGAAAAGTATTCACCTGTAGCATCTGTACATAGAGATACATTTAAGTAGGTGTCTTCCGCAATTTAATCCCCTCTTAAATAAAGCCAAATACGGCCTCCCTAACGCTGGCGGAACTTCCCCAAGCCATAATTAGGAGTCGGTCATAAGCAAGATAACTCAAGAAGCTTTGCATATATTTTCATGAAATTTTATAGGTGGGTCGGTCTTTATATCAAATATATGATTTGATAGTGGCCTTTCTCGTTACTGCAGAATTTCCGGTTAAAGTATATGGTGTCATAGATATGCAAGGGACTTGATTTGTTAGTGGTAACTTTTGGGCTTGTAAATAGATACTGTTTGTATATAGGGACCAAATTTTGATGGGACGTTTGCGAGTCCTTAACTACAGATACGGTAAGTCCAGAAAGTGTCGACGGATCGTCGTGATGTTTTGTATGTACGTAGCTTTGTTATTTAGACTTCTACCATTAAATAGTTGTTGAGGGGGCGCGGTCTGATCTCAACATGTAAAGAAACATATCCCTGCATCTCTTGCGGCGTACCATTATTTTGTATTTCCCTTAATTAGGTGCTGTTCTTTGCCTTGCTTGCGGCTCTCCAATATGTGTAAATCATTCACAAATTTCCATCGTTGCACCACCGCATTTCGTGCTGCGTTATCAATCACAGACAGGAAGACAAGTGGACCTAACACCGTCCCTTGTGGGACACCACACATTGTATCCCGCCGATCAGAGAAGACAGGAGACTCTCTAACTCCTACGCGTAGGCAAGCTGATGAGCCGTGTGGCTAGCAAAGATCGCAGCACGAGATTGAGAGAACACACAACACTTTTTTTGTAAAGTCGACCCTGTCAAAAGCTTTGACGAAGTCAAGCATGGCCCCAGCTCTGGTTTACTATAAGAGACACTTAGAAACTACTGAATCCAAACATACGAACACGAGCCATATATACCAGCTCTCACTCACATTTTACGTATTATTCAAAAATTAATGTAAACTATGTGTGTAGGTTTATTAGGACTTTAAACGTTGTAACCTGTGTCTTTAGTATATATTTAGGCTAACCCTTACCTAACCACTTGTTCCCAATTAATTGAAATTGAAACTAAAGAATAAGAAATGACAAGTAAAACTGGGAGACATTCTAGATATTTCCGTCGCATATTTTTGTAGCAAACCAAGCTGATCTGTCACATGATTGCAACCTAGAATATTGGAGTGTTCTTTTTACACAACACCAAGGATTGTCTCATCACCTTGCGTACGTCAACGAAGAGCTGTAGGGAAGGTGTCTGACAGACATCAAAATTTATTTGTTAAGAGAAGAAACTGAGAGGAGGCAGCAACAGGATAGAATCCTTTAACAAAGCTGACTCCTCCAAACAAATAATAAATAATAAAAACATGAATATACAAAATATAAGAATAAGAAAAATGAAAGAAAGGTGAGAGATTCTGTGGTTGTGTAAAAAGAAAACCACAATATCCTAAATATGCTCTCCCAACCTGATGAAATTATTTTCAAAAGGAAACAATATGTCTGTCAACGGAAGATCACAGATCAGGAAATCTACTAGATTTAATGTATTGAAGCTAAATAAGACATTAAAACTCAGATAATAGATGTTGAGACTTCGCATTGCTGACGAGTTTGTTACTGCAAGGAGTCCATGGACTCCAAGGAGTCTCCTTGCATGAATTGTTTGTCACATTTTAGCTGTTCTGTCAGAGTAAGGACGCAGAGTTGTCAGTCTTGACAGCGGTCTCTGTCAGAGGAACAGTGTGTAAGCCTCAGTAGGTTTACTATCAGAGACTAATTCATCCCCTTGGGTTTATCTCAGCGTGCTGCAGCACGTCAATCAGAGGTTGTTACCGCAGGTAAACATTCATCACTATAGATACACACACGCATACAGTCGTGAAAAACTGTATGCATATTTTGGCAACCCACAGAGATATATGTAGGGTTGACAGCCGGAGCTTCTATTGCGTGCGATCTACGTTTGATCAGAAAACTACCCCCCCCCCACACCACCACACAACACACACACACACACACACACACACACACATATACACACAAAAACGACCGGTCCGGGAACGCCTGAAAAGGAGGCTAGTCAGAATGCAAGCTAAACGTTTTTGATTTGTCTTTTTTTTGGAAGCTGTGGTAGACGAAGTGTCCCACTTTTCTGCAATGAGTAGGTTTCGAAAGATAAGAAAATAGATTATGTTTAAACAAATTTCATCGTTATTTCTCTACGCTCAGACAAAATGAAAACTAGTTTCCTATTAATATCACAATATCATGGGTAAAGGGGGGTCATTAATTCGTCTTTCACTGCCTCGAAATAAGAAGTTAGAATGCATTACCGTAACGGTGACGTGGACCCTCGTAGAAGTAAAGAACATAATGTGCTGTCATTGGAAAGCTGAACAAAGAACTAAGCTCTGGCTCATAATCAGTGTCTACCTACAAAGGGAACCACCGGAGAGAATTATCCGTTCAGATAGATGTTTCCTTTTTTCCAGCAGCGCGGTACGGTGTGCTTTCATCTTCCAAAGATAAACACCTGGCCGGCTTTTGATCCTGTGCCGTGAAAAATGTTGTCCTTTAAGACGATCTTTGATGCACGAAGCAAACAGAATTCATATTAGTTCATATTAGTACATATCACGATGGTCTGTATGATTGTGGGTACTTATAAATATTCAACGTGACATGCCAATTTACCTAAGAGTTTAGATATTGTAGTCACCAGCTGTCTAATGTTTCAGAAAAAAACTAAAAAGACGGCATTTGGAATGATATTGACAATCCAGGTTGTCCCAAAATCTAATCATTTCTAAGTAACCATATTCATCATGCTCACATAACGGAAGAGTTATTCTCTTATTTAGATAATTATTTAATTATCAAAACACATACAGCGGAACTTGTACTATAGTCGATGTTATTCTAAACATTTTGTTGTTGTTTTCTTTGTTAACACAGAGCAATGGAAAAGCTTACAAGAGTCGTCATCCTGACAGCATTATGGGGTATCTGGTCAATCGGCAGTGGCTACGGTAAGTATTTCTTTTTTACTCCATGAAGGAAGTCAGTGACCTTTTGTAATTTGTAAATTGTTAACAAAACGACTCTTGAGAGTTTTGAACAGCCTTTGCAACTGTTGCCAATATCATTTGCGTGCTTGGCGTGGCTAACGTCCTTCAAGCGAAGCAGACCTGGGTCAAAGTTCGGAAGTCGGTACCGCCCCCCGTCTCGGTCGGTGTGCTCTGATGTAGATCACCTTTGACCCAGTGCTGACATCAAACAAAATCACGTGTCTACAGCACTCAAGTCAGATAGCGGATTTGACCGACAGATTTGGTCTAAAATTCGGGGTGACTAAACTTCCTTTTGAGACGGAAAACAGTTTAATTTTTCATTATGTAATGTACCAACCAAAATGACGCTTCATGATAATTATGGATCTTGACGAATGAACGGGGCGCGGGTTCTGGGGCACAGTAGATATTACTCGGCCACGTGATCAGAACCGCCAATCTACTGCGATACTGCCTCGTCATCTCTGTCGAAAAGAGATGTGCATTGCCAAACCTTTGCCACAGGTTGGCCCCGTCGTGCTTTAGAGTCAAATGAAGACGTTTTCATGCATTCTTGGCTCGTTGAGGGTGGGTTAAAGGCCAGAGAAGCTCACGGTGCAATCTGCCTCCGTAAATGGGTTTACAGCGACTCGTATCTTAAGGGGATGAGTTTTTAATTGGGGTGACTGATCTTTTTTTCTGCAGGAAGAATAAAGAATCAGGAGGAGCTGTGCGTGTTACAATATACAAAAGGATCCTCACTCTCTCACCATTCATGTGCATGTTTGCAAGACGTGAAATGCATAAAGAAGGATTGGCTGTGTAAACTTACAGCACAAACATGTCGGGGAGGTTATGAGATATTCAGCAGCGACGTTGCATTATTCGCAAAATCTCGGCTTTTTAACTGTTGTTATTTTAAGACCTCACTGTAAAAAGTTGTAGAACGCAATTCTACCTTCATCGTTTTATATAAACTGTTCTTAAAGTCCACCTATGTAACAGATGCGTTTCATATAAACAGCATAACGTATTAAGGAGTCCTTTAAAAGCTGAAGATTGGTGTTTTAAACTTTGATAGGTCTTGCAGACAGGAAAAATCTTTCCTGTGACTAGCATGACAAAGTACCCTGGGTCAGGTAATACATATTTGTTTGGAGCGTCCTCGCTTCTGCCCCCTTTTAATAGACATTTGGTTTGGAATGAAGAGCCCGGTGGGTCACGGACAACACAGCCTGGGAAAAGTTAAGTGCATCACATTGACATCAAGCCATCAGATCAGCTGCTGGGTTCAATTGGTACAGTGTGACCTTCCATCAGGCAAGGCGATGTACGTTTGTCATTCCTGTACAAACCCATGTTTATAGATTGGCTTCTCTTGTCAGTTTCTTGTGACATGTTTTCCGAAAAGGCAGAGGGCATATAACTTACTACTCTCCAGACAGAGGTTTGGGTTCGGGCTTATTTTTATCGTGTTTTAGGCTTTTTTATAGGGGTTGGTGTAAAAAATAATCTACAAGTGCAAATCCTATAAAAAGAAAATGAAAAAAAGGAAAGCCCGATAAAAAGCCTAACAACACGCCAAAAATAAGCCAAGACCCAAACCTCTGCTCGGAGAGTAATAACCTACCCTTCACAAGAACGGAATCATTTAGGAACACAATTTACAACATTTCGAAAAAAGGCGGCGGAAAAATATAACACAAGAGTTCTGAGACGTCATCTCTTTATAAAATATGCCGAAATTTTGGTCTGCCAAAATCAAAAATCCACAAAACCATTTAAGTGGTGTGTGCTGAAATATTAATGGTGTATTTATTTTATTTTCTTTGCAATTCTTTTTTAAAGACTCGTCCATACAAATATACACCTTGCTCGTTATCAACCTCCACTATGCATTCACCACAAACTTCATTCCTGGATAAGCGCCAGACCTGGGCTTACGTGCAAACTTCGGAAACACACTTCAAGAGCGTAAACGTTTGCCACTTAGTGTACCAAAAAATCGGAACCATCTTAGCATACAGATGTAACACAGACAAGCATTATGTATCCCGCATCCTGGCTTTTTTTCTATATCTACACCTAGGATCGGTGTTATCTCAAAGACCCAAACAGCTGACTGAGAAGTTCAAATCAAATCAAATCAAATTTTATTCAGTAAGGATCTCGCGGGCAAATACCCGAATTTCGTCCTTATTACAATAGTATATAGAACATTTTAATGTTCTATATACTATTATAATAAGGACGAAATTATGTTTCATGTGCACGATGAAGAGTGTTTTTAAAAAAACACTCTTCATCGTGCACATGAAACAACATAGGTAAACACATATTAAGACGATTGCATAGGCGAACATAGGCGACCTCAATCTTAAGACGATTACACAATTAAAATCTATGCAGGTTAAATACGCAGTTATCACGAAGAATTTAGCTAGGTACAATATATATAACACTACTGCTGGATTGTCTTGTTATAGAGGCGAACAGCACAATGAAGGAATGAGTTGCTAAGTCTCTTAGTCCGGGCTTTAGGTAGACTGATTGTGCCAGAGTTTCTGAGTGACCGTCCCGTGGCACCTGACCTAGTGGGCGGAACTAAGTCATGTAGAGGGTGGTCCTCCTGAAGCATGCGTTGGAACAGGTGTACTGCCGCAGTGATTCTCAACACAAAGACAAATATGCCGACATGGCTACATTATCCTCACGTCTGACTTTCGAAAAAAAAAACAATGAACAAACGATGGAAATGATTCCAGATGTAAACATATGTCACCTAGTACCACGACCTCATATCTTTGTCATATTATTTGAACCTTTACGACTGACTAATCATAAATGATTCTCTTTGATTACGCAAATAAGATACTCATTTGCATACGCCTTACACAATTTATTCTCCACCCATATATTGAAATACCAGGAGTTGTCCAGTAACAAAGATCTTATCAAAGAGGGCTATCCTGACGTATCCTCATACATTATGCAAAAATACCCTCATTTGCACGGTTTCTCTTTAACGATATGCAATGTTCACACAGACACACACTCCAATACATAACGTCCTCGTAATAAAGGTATATAATAACCGAAAGCCATTGCCTTTTTTTAGTTGGTGATCTTGCAGGCTACAGGGTTTTATTTTTGAGCCAACAGGCATAGTGTATTGTAATAAGCCTTGCGCTGCGATTTTCCACTTCTGTGAATTTCTTTTATTAAAACAGCAAAAGCATAAAAACATACAAGATGGCGTCGAACTCAAGTTTCAAGTTCTCAGTTAATATTAACGGCGCCATCTACACAAAATGATTAAACAGAGATATACTGATTACAAGGACAAATAGACCAAAATGCAAAATCGAAACAAGCTAATTGGGGTTTAGTAAATGAAATTCAACGACCTCATGTCCCGGTACAATAGCTCAATTGGTAGAGTGCTCGCTTTGTAACCGTGAGGTCGTGAGTTCAAACCCCGGCCGGGTCATACCAAAGACTTTAAAAATGGTACACACTTCTTTCTCTGCTTAGCACTCAGCATATAAGAGAAAGGGTGTGGGAAGGTCAAACACACAGCACTACCAGCAGACAGCCCCCTGCTGTAGTGCATTGCACAACTGTGTGTCGCCCATGGCCAAGGGCTACAGAAATGGATATGGGCACCACCCTACGCTCTGCATAAGGGCACGGGAGACCTTTGCTTTTTCCTTTCCTTTCATGTCCCAACCCCATATCCCGTAGAATTACTGATAGGACACAAGTAGAATAGTTGAAGTCGAAAAGATCAATCAGTCTGTGAATATATTTTCAGGTGTAACATCGTGAAAACAAATTAAAGCAGTTGTCTGAGCGGAAAATACATCTTTCTGCTTTGAAGTCGCCGAGTGCTTTCATCTTGCCAAATATGTAGAAATGAAGTACATTATATTAAAATTATTCTGCTGATAGTGTATGTATACCGTGTACCCATTTAGATGTAAGAAACACTTTCTGTCATAGACTTGGATCTGTACAGAACATTCCCAAGGTGAATCTTTTTTAAATCTTTTCTATCGAGTCTCTTAATGTGCCGTTTGCAAGATGCAGGCCGACAATCGCTCAACCCTACCTGAAGATATCTGATGTGAATCCTCGCGGTCAGTGTACCGTCTCAAATGTCTCTAATGGTGTTCTAAGGAAGATGCAGAGCTTTTTGATGCTCCGCTGAGGCTCAGTTGAGTTTCACGGCTCATTTCTCTCTATCATTAAAATGCCGACAGGACTTAAGCATCTCTGAACAGAGGAGGTCTAATGGTTCAACACATCAGTGTACGCACTTGTAACCAAATTGTACAGGAAGTATTTAGCTTTCTCTGGACAAAAATTTCGCTCGTTACTCCTGCAAAAAAAGATTACACCCCTGTTGCCCAGGTTTGTGGAAACATCGGCGACACCAATGAAAAAGAACAAGACAAGAGGTAGTTTTTATGTAACATACAAAAAAGTGAAACCCAAGTTTCAGCTTTTTTAAAATAAGGTACACGTACAACAATGGCAGTGCATAACATAACATAACATAACATATTAATATGATAATATAACATAACATAATGGATAATGATAAATCACAAACAATATTGGAACTTGCATTTTCCTTTTCTGTCGTTCAGCCAAGTGTAAATCGTTTTGTATCTACGATATATTCTTATGTCAAACAACAAACTATTTCTTTAAGTTTCTGAACACACAGAAGGTGAATCCCTAGGTGAGAGATTGATACAGGCTTCTTCAGCAAGTTGTGCAAGTGATAGATGGAGCCTAATATAATTGCAACTTGAGCCTTGCAGGACATATAAATTTTCTCTGTGAAGACGGGGAAGTTTCATGTTATGATACTTTATATTGCCAGCTCGTATGCTCCTAACAGAGGGCGTAGACGACCATGAATAGAGACGGTACATTTGGAGGCAATAAATTTCCTTGTTTTGGTCCACTCA